TCTGTGGATCTGCGATTTTGGTGCCAATAGAAACATTGTGAACCTTCCTGTGATGAGTATGCTATCACGTTCCTACCTTATGAATGGATACAGTCACTGAATAGTAGTGAAAGTTAAACAATATCACATACGGAAGATGTGTTTGAGAGTGTTTAAGGGGAAAAAGAGAGAGAAAGATATGAGACAGATTAGAACTGACATTGTTTTCGAGTGTCAAATAGTCTTTCCTGGCAGTGAGAAACTTCGGAGTGCTTCGTCTCCTCTGGATCTGAGTAGGATTTAGGCCGTCATTTGTCAGACAAAGGGGCAGAGGGCAAAGGGCCAAGAGAAATGGAAAAAAGGATGTAGGGAACAGATAAAACACATAAAAGCGTGGCAGGGGCATTTTACAAAGCAGAAAAAGTTGCAACATCTCAGGCCTACACCTTGTAACAGTGGAGCAATTCTGACTTATACAGTATATATACAGTATAACATTTGGAGCTTCAACGTCATAAGTGAGACAGCTTTATAAACAACACCAGCAGAGTAAACTCTGACTTCACTGTAATTAACTTTTTAGGCACTTTTATGAGCATGTCAGTGACTCAAAGACCGAGTGGCAAGGGTATCAAGGGAGTGAAAATAGTTGCATGAAAGATCAAGAAACGTTGTGGGAGGGATATGATGAAAGATGAGAAAAGTGGGAGAGGCTGGTGGACAGGGGGTAAGTCACAGAGCAGCTGCTGGTTGGTATGAGGAGTGGGGTAGAAGGACAAATTCACTCAAGACTGAGGAAAGACAGTTGACTGTGGCATCTCTTAATGCTACTGAGGCAGAACAGGAGGCCTTATGTAAGTGTCTATTAGTGTGGGTGAGCAAGCGATAAAGCATTTTACTGCAACGGTGCCAGAGCTTCGCAACAAGAGTTTCCTTCCCTCTTAATAAGTGTTTCTTTCTCTCCCTGTCCCTAAGACACAGATGTACAGTATACAACTAACATATACACGTTTAGAGAAGAAAAAGTATGTCAAAATGTCTAATGTAATGTATAATTGACACATAATGTTTTGGAGCCACTTCTAACTTTATTGACTTAACATTACTTTTACAACGTTGTCTGTTGCAGAACACATTATTTCATGCCTCCTGCTCTCCCCACTTATGAAACTAATTGTCCCTCTCTTCTTCACAGCATAACAGCAGATGATTAATGTCTCATTAGGGCATTGTACACATACATATATACACACACACACACAGCACACATTTCACCCATTAACTGGAGCATCTTCCAGAGGACCTCGTTAGTGTTAAAGAATGAATGATTCAGAGCCAGCCGCAGAGCTGCACCCTGAAAACACAGATTAAATCAAAAACTTTTTTTCCCTTTGATATTAGATCCTCACACCTCCATACACCTCTAAGTCAGGACACAGTGAAGTTGCAGCGTTAGATGATGAGCTGTCTGCTACAATCTTCTGCAGTTATAAATTGTCTATGCAGCACAGATGCCTGCTCACGTCCTGATCTGACCCTCCCCTCTCGCATGACTCCATCCATTGAGGACGACCTTTCACCCCTGCCTGTGTCAGTGCTCTAACCGCTTACCGTCTGCAAGGTAGAAAAAGGACAAATGTTGCATCAGATTCAGAGGGAATTTTGCAACTAATGATAATACTGACAAGCTGGTCTAGGTAAATATGGTTTATATGGAAATATCAAAGAAAACAACCACCTGAGAACAGTGGGCTGCTCCACTTGGGATGCCATGTCAGCAGTCTGGATGTGGGTTAGACATCCCAGACTAGAGTGGGGGCGGGTAGCTGTTTCTCTGACTCTGACCTTCAACAACAGGCTGTAATGTCTCCTTAGGGAAAAGAGGATTGGTAGTGGGGTGGTCAGAGGGGGGTGGAGAGGTGGTGGACTCTGCTCGCCAGCCTGCCTGTCTGCCTAGCCTAAACCCTCCTGGTGACTCTTAGCAGGCCGAGTCAAAAACTGGACGGTAATTATGTTTAAAACAGACCCGTCTTTTTTTCCTCTACCACCGACCCGTTGGTTGCTCTGGTGTCTTGTTTATGCGGGCTCAGTGTTTTCTATTCATGTTCCCCTGCTGTGGTGACAGTGTACCTGACCAAGGACGGATAAGAAAAAAAAGCTTTTCACATCAAAACAAAATGCCCCCTCCCCTCCTCATTTCGACAGGCCTCTTTTTGTCGTTCATTCAAACTGGTCTTTGTTCCGTTATCAGTGCACTGGATCCCACTCTGATGAGTATTGACAAGTAGAACAAGCTCTGCTTTAGCATGTGAGTGACTTAATCAGAGACAGAACAAGAAAAATGGAGAGACACACATACATAGAGGCAAGGTTGACAGGACGAGTGGGAGTGTAAATAAAGTAGGTTTGAATGTGTTTAGATGAATATGCACATGTATGAGCCAGTAAATGTATTGGTTTCTCCTCTTTCTTCCTGCAAGATCTTTGCCCAGGCTTGTCTAAAGGGCTTTGACCTACTTTGCAGCATTTGCAAACTGACAAAACAAGGTGTGAAAGCAGCACTATGTCATACATGAGAAACAATACACTACTGATACAGTGGTTAACATAAAACACACAGAGGTGTCTATTCAAACATATTTAATCCTGTAGCACAATGGCAGCATTACCAAAACTGGTGGAAACCAAATGAAAATAAATGGTTTTGTTGACATTACCCAAAGCAGGGCACAGAGTGCGGCAAATGCACAACGGGTCACACCCACATACACAGATGTGCACACACATACTGAGATGTCAAGCACAAGCCCGCCAGTGTGACCATTATTTGGTAGAAAAATAGCTGCCACTGCACTGCAGTCCAAGTGTGTGAGTGAGTGTATAACAACTATGTCACTTGGTGAACTCGTTGTTTACACCAAATTACTGTTTACATGGCAACTACAGTGCATTTTAAAAACAGCTCTTATAAATTTGTGATGAATACAACATGCAGAAGACAGCAGAAAGAGCTGGCACGATATAATACAATTTAAGATGAAATAGACTGAATGCTAAAATTGTTTAAACCAAAATTGTTTCATATTGAGAGAGAAGAGGAGAGCCTCTCGTCATCAACTGCAAAACAAAAGCCAATTTAAAGACAGGGAGTTAATCTGAAAGGTCAATGGAACAACAAAGAGCCCTGGCTAATATGACCATACAGTTATATAATGTTATGCAACTTCTTTCAGAGGCTGTGTAGTGTCAACTCTGAGTTTGTTATTGTGGTTACAGTGTGCTGCGATAGCCATCAACATGCTGTGGAAAAGAGATGTTTAAAATCAGGTTAAGACCTGGATCGGGAGGTGAGTACGGCAGTTTTTTTGTCTGTAATGGGCAAAAACACTTCAACGTGCACTCACAAAGAAGTAGGCACAACAATACTCTGGTTTAAAAGCATGTTCAGTCTTGCATGCTCCCCAGAGACAATCCCTCACATCATACATGACCAGTGGCACGTGAAGTTCACGTGATGATGAGAGAAGGAAGCAAAGAAGCAAGTGTGCAGTTTAAACCCGTACACACAACGCCTACTATCAAGGACACTCTCAGCAGTTGAAACCTGTTTTGCTCTCGGACAATAATCAGTTTATAATCTATCTATGGGGCAGTGTTGGCCTAAATGTTAGAGAAACAAGCTTGTGACCCAATGGTTGTCTGTTCAATTCCCAGGCAGGATACATTTGTGTGAAATGTAGTGAAAGGCAGCATTGTCCCTCTTTCATCATTACCAGCAGCTTCCAGATGTGAATGTAAATCTGTGTCAATGTGATCAGAGTTCTCCTGAAAAAGAGAGCCTTCCTCTCAGTGAAACTTCCCTGAATACACAAATTAAATTCTAATATCCTAACATTTCCAAATATGTTAGTACAGAGACTCAGAAAAAAGTCATTATGTGTCTATGCAGATTTAATGAAGAGCTCAGTCGGCTCAGTTTTTAGACTGAACTTTGTTGTTCCAGCGTCTTGACAAAGACAGTAACCAATAGCTGTGTAAAATGAAGGAACAAGTGTTTTAGCACCGCCTACAGCCTCTCCCTGTCCTCTTTACTGTTACATAATCACTTATCAGTGCGCTAGGCTTGGCCCTGGATGCATTTTCTGCTTCTTCTGTGTGAAACAGTCTGTGCATGTACGTTTGGCTAAGGACTATCAAAAAATGTCCTGAACACAAATGTGCATGTGTCTGTGTTTGATGTCAATCGATAGTAGCAAAAACTCACTGAACTGCACATGTAACATCAAACAAAACACACTTGCACACAACAAAGCTCACCTTCCTGTCTGAGACACTGTGATCACAGCACACTGACACATCCACTAGCCTGACTTGTCAAATGGGGTTAACACTGGACTCAGAAACAGTCAAGCAAGACACTGAGACGCCTGATGACTGCAAAACTCTTCCCAACTTATTTTTCAGTAAACAACACTAACAAACTGTAACTATCTCATTCTTTTGCGCTCTTTTCCGTCTGTCAAGTGATTGGGCAATCATGGCCCTCGTCTCCAGCTCTGGCTCTCTCCCAGGGCATATTTCGAAACTATTCTGGATGGAACACCAAACATGTGGTCAGTTGACCAGTACGCCCCCACACCATTCATGCCCAAACCACTGTATAGTTGTAGCCAGAGAGTGAATTCCACTTCTTGTTAAGACTACTGTTGAAGAACACAGGTCTGGAGTTGAGTATGAAAATTGATGATTATTTGTATCACCACATATTCCATGTCAAATTAGCTCCTGAACTAGGCTAAATAGAAACAAGAGAGCAAAAATAGGTGTGATAGTTAACTGCGTGTGTGTATCCTAATCAGGTTGATTATACATCTGCCCAAAGTTCATGTCTAGATGGCAAATTTTAATCATAACAAAAAATGACTGTATTGCTCTTGTCCCATGCAACATGATGAAAAAAAATACATATTTGAAGATAAGAAATGGGTTTATGGCTTTAAATGTCACCAGCAACTCTGTACCTGTTTCTGGGGACAGGGATGTGGGAGGAAGGGAGGGGCTGTCCCTCTGTCGGTACGTTCCGCCCTTGCGCTGCTCTGAAGTTATTGGCCAGCTCTGCCTGTTTCCCTGGGTTCCTGATGTCCAAGTGCATGAAGCCGCCTGGCAACTGCCCGTTTATGCCTGGGCAGTGAGTAGGACTGGCCCTCTTCAGGATCCCAGTGGAACCGGTGTCTTTTTGGTCCCCCAGGCCAGTCTAGAAAAATTAAGCAGTAGTAAATTAAAAAAGTAAATCATTTTAAAGCCAATTATCAGCATGCCTACATCAGAAGCATCATGTGATATGCGACAGAAAGAGGTTAACCATTTGCCTTCACTAGTAAATTTACATGACTCTGCATGGCTTTCTTGGGGTTTTTTTTTTTTAAACCGTAGATTTCGAATTTGACTGCTAGATCACAAAAACCCTGAATGAACCCTGAAAGTGAATTCATCCACATGACAGTGTTTTTATTTCGACAAACCATACCAGAAAAAGAAAGTAACTTCCTAAATATTTCTTTCAAAACATCCTCTCCCTTAAGGTTATTGTTATTGTTATTGTTGTTGAGGCACTGCACATGAACCTTCAGGAACCAACCAGAATGAAGTCGATCCCAGCTCAAGATACCTGTTTTCTGTTTCTGCTGCCTTTTTACACAAGGTTTGGAAAAGACACAGTATAAGTAAAACTAAGTAATGCTTTGTGTGATTTCTTTAGTTTACTTGTTTTATCTGACCAAGAGTACTAAAGCTAAATATTTTTATTTACTGTCAAATGTAAGAATAATCAACTAACCATTGTAGCCCTAAAAGAATATTCATTCAAATATTCAACCTAAAATGAAGGCTTGGTTCATTTTTAACTGCCTTTATCACAGTGTCATGTTAAAATAAACAGACACAGCAAGTGAAGTTATTTGAATAACATGCTATCTGATCCATCTCAAAAGTAGGTGTGGCAATTTGCCACCTATGCATATTTGATGTGGCACGGTCAATTAGTAGCTATATGACATGATTAAATTACTGACCCTGCAAAGAGAAACGCACACGGGCCACCAGATGCTGAAAATGCAATGCAAAAAGCATGCAATGCAAGTAAAAACAAACTGCAAACAAACAAACAGAAAAAACTACTGCACTTGAGAAAAATATATCTGTACAGTCACTATATGAGTACTGTGCTGAGGAGCCGGGCCGTGCTGTGCAGCCAGGAAGCCCTCACTGTAGCTCCACCCTAAATTTATGGGGGAGGGGGGTATGGCTAGTAATTTGAAGTCCCTGCCCCCCTTTTTCTGTAAACTTTGCACATAAAATGATCCGCCATTTAAAAGCGTTTTTTTTTGACGTAAGTAATAACTTGCGAACAAGCGTTGAACAAGCAGTTGCGGGGACACTTTCCAAAAGTGGGGCTAATAGTTATAACTGTGGTCCTCAACACACAATGTACAGTAGTTGTAGTCTCGAGTGAGCTCCACGGCCGCATACTTACAACCGTAAAAACGTAATAACGGCGTGTGAGAGCTGTCATACGCATCATTATACAGCGTAATGACAGGTTAACGTTACATGCTTCATATTGTGTGTCGCAACTTGGGTGTGCAAGTCGACTTCGCCGGCTTAATGGTAGTCGTGCGGTTTTTTTGGGGTTTTTTTTACACTTACTTTTTCCATGTCGTGCGATATTCGACCAGCCGGAGAAAGTCCGTTCCCTTTTGAAGAGGTTTGCTCGCCTTTAACTTCCGCCGCCGAGCCGCCGTCCATTACAAATTTGTAGAGTACGGGCCCGTTTGTTGTGTACGCCGGCGTGGGACCGTTTTTCTCCACCGTGGGGACCCGAGTGTCGCGGAGCACGGAGCGTCCTGCCCGGCAGTTAAAATCTGCACCACCTACCCTTGCCCCAACCGGCGACTTCTCCAAAATATATCTGGAATCCATATTCAGATGGAGACTAAAGAAAGAAAACCAGCTTTCTATAGAATTTAGTGCAAATTGCTGGCATTAGATACATTTATCGCGAGTTAATAGGTGTTATCTGTGTCTTTTAAACTTCTATTCTAGTCTACATGTAAAGTTTTCCACCAACGCCGCCACCACCACTACCCAGGATATCCAAAAAGCCGCCCGGTCAGGAGGATAAAAGATTGTTTTGCCTCTTTCCTCCAAAAGAATGCCACGCCCCCTCCACTTCACTCCCATTGGTCCGCTGCGCACATAAACATTACATTCTGGCACGCGTCCACGGCGAGGCGGCTTCTGATTGGCTTGTTTCGCTGCGTCAATCACGCTTTTTTTAATCCAAGCGCTGTGAGTGGAAGAGGGGAGGGGGGCGTGTCTGCAGTTTACCGGCCGGGGTCTGTGTAGACGACGAAGAAGCCGGTCAGCGAGGCAGGAGGGAGAGCACACAGGAAAAAACAGCCTGTAGGCCTCAGCAGCAAAACTGCGCATTTATGTTTTCTGCTTATCAAAATGGGATTTAGCGCATTATGTTTTGACCGTACTTTACAACACGGTTATAATCGATGCAATAAATATGACTGGCCAGATTGTTTTTTGTCCATTAAATGTATTAAAAATACACAGATGGATTTAGTCATCCTGTAAAATTTTTGGATTTACTGCTAAAGTTTTTATCTTTTTTTCATAAGATTTCTTCACACAGAACTGTGAGTGCTTTGGTGGAGATGTGCAGTTCATAAACATGGTCAAACAACTGTTATTATTGAAATATATACGGCCATTTGTTTTTAAATTTCAGTTGTTGGACGCACCTCTTTCTCTAACCTATTCTAAAATGCCTGAAAAAGCACTTCTTCATTTCTGGTTTATCGCTTAACTTTACAGAAACACATTTTATTGCAAGCTGCGTTTATTGCAAGCTACAATTATTACTGTGTGGGTGCTACAGAGCCGTAACAACTGACACTGTAGTTGCTGCCTGGTTTGATACCCTGTGCAATGCAATAAGGCTACAGGCAAGAGACAAACACGTTGTAATGTGCCACTTTATTAGAAAAGTAAAAACTCACTTTAATATTTTATGAAGGTTAATATAAAACATTACAATCTTTTGCATATCTGCACTGTCACACTATATTTTATTATATTTATTATTTTTTAAACTAAACCCTGTGCTTTAAGAACATACAACATTGGCTACAGCTGTCACAGCAGTATTGGCCCATAATTATATCTGTAGACAATTAACAAACAGCATCTGTATCTGCATGGAAAGCATGAAACATTTTGCATCCACAAGTACAATGTGTCTGTGATAACCATCTTTTTTTTTTTTCAACAAATATACTGTATACTGTATGTTACATTGGAACAACATCAGAACAGCAACAGAGTATTTTACACATTTACATCATCATACTGTATTTGTTTGTGCAATGAACATCTGTCTCGATCAGTGTATAACAGTGTTCAGCAAAATATATCAGATCAGTGCTTTCTCTCAGGATAAAGAAAATGTGACACATAAAGTGACAGCCAGAGAAAAAGGATTAGGTGTGATAGTGGTTCCAGCCAGCATTGTCTCGGGGAAGCCTCAACAGAGCTTGTTAAGCGTCTCAGCTGTTAGCCATTTCTCATATCAGGCAGTAGTTGAGCCGTTGGTGCATTGTTGATATCAGACTGGGGTTGGCCTGACCCACAGCCCCTGCCGCCCCCCCGCCCCCCCCTTCTCCTCAACCTCATATCTCTCCCTGAGTCCCTCAGAACTGGACATCAAAGGCCCCTCCCCTGCACAGCGAGGGAGAGAGGTGAAGCAGAGAAAAGAGAGGTCTGTGTCGGTTATTAGAGGATGACCACAGCTGGGGGAGGGAGTATATGCAAGGGCTAACCAAGTGGAAGCAAAGTGTGCTTTATCCCCTAAATGCACATGGCTCAATTTTGCAGTGTGTGTGTATGTGTGTGTGTGTGTGCCTGCCGGTGTGTGCCTGTGTGTGTGCACGCACGCAAAAACACATATCGGAAGGAGGAGGGTCCTTTGGCTGTGTCCATTTACAGTGATCCTCATCCAGCTTTATACTAAGCTGTTCTTCTTCTCCCTCCTCACCTCTATCACTCTTTCTTGCTCCCCCAGAGCGGAGGATAAACAACTCTCTGCTTCAAACTCCCTTTGGCTTCTCTCTATCTTTCTATTTCTTTCCCCTCCTCCTCCTCCTCTTCCAAGTTGTTGCTTTGGAAAAAAACAAAATGCTGCTTTGCATCACATGGAAAAAAAGTACAACAGAAAAGATTAACAAACAAGAGATCAATTAAAGTACCACGATATTTGTTTTCATCTCCACATATCAAAGCATGCACTTTTTTGATCAAGCAGGAAAAAGTTGCACCAACAACATAAACGTATTGTTTTCCATGGCAGTGGCATGAGCTATTCAACCAATGGTATTGTCAGTAGGTAAGAAAAAATAAACAGTGCATTAAAATACAGAGTGCATTTGTTTTTACATACCATCTGACACAGTAACATTTATAAATTCATGTTACTAACCTTTCTAAACTTGTCTTCTCTTTGCATGGTTGTCTCACAGTGAGATCATTCTAATGCACCCTTCATCTCTCAGCCTGTGAGCAGTTTGTATCCCTCTTCACCTCTTTATGCCCATTTATTAAGCCTCTAATGTTTTGTTTTCTTCCACTCTTCTTTCTTTTTTAATGTTCCCCAAAGCTACATGGGAAAGACATTGTTTGTAATGGAAGAGAACTCAGTGCAGAGGCTGGAGACAAGGGTGGGGAAAGGGCAAGGGGCAACCTTCCAAAGGACACTCACTGGTAATTTTTATGCCCAGCTCTTTATTTTCCTTGGAGTCCAAGCCTTCTGTTGCTATTTCAACTACCAGACTTTAGTCGGGTGAGCTATGGGGAGCTCTGGCTTTGACTTGAGACCTGAGAGCGAATCAGAACAGTGCTCAGAAACGCCCTTTACAGTATGTTAATGCACAATTAAGCCAACCAGTCCCGCAGCTGTCAAGTGCAAAATTACAATGGTCATAAAATCAGATGCTCACAGCGCCCAAAGGACATGGCATATTAACTACACAGGATGAAGCATCCTGTATTATTTTGGACATTCTCACTCTTTCACTTCCTTATTTTTGAAAATATTCTTCTCTCATTTATTATATTTATATTATATGTATTTATAGTAATACAGTAAAGGTCTTGCATTGTGAAATCTGTCACCCATATCACTCTGGGGAAATTCTTGCATAACCCACTCATCAATGTCCCTGACCTGATCACTTTAGCCATGACTCTGCCAAGAATGTGTGTATATGTATACTTGGGTGTGTCGTCATGCCTCTGGCTACAGATGTTTGTCAAATCTGTGCCGTGGATTATTAACTAATCTCATAATTAATGTGAAGGCTACATTATTGATCAAAAGTCACTCTTTATGTTGGCTGTTATTGATAACTGCTAATAAGTTTAGGGCACATCGATGGTAAACTGGCAAATGGGGATTATAGCTTTGAATTACTTCTGTGTTTGGGCAGGCCTGCAAATTCTGAACTATCTTTGAACAAAGCACCACAACGCTGTCTGCCAGGCAACCGGCCGGTGCGCACAGAGAACCTGTTTAAGCTGTTTGCTTAGGGAGAGCAAATCTCTGTGACATCCATCTGCCTATATTACATAAGTCCCCCCAAGATGAGGCATATGTGTGTTTAAGTGTGTGTATATGGATGACAATAGCTAACAGTGTGCCTCATACTGCTAATATAACCAGTTTCCTCGCTACTACTGTTTATTTTCAGGTGTGTGTTTGCACAATGCATGCACATTTATTTTTTAATATATATTAAAGGTTGTGAGTTACACCACATACTCTTTAAAGAGTACAGTGTTCATATAAAAATAAAGATATTATGGAAAATGATGCACAAACAGGTGAGTATGGTCTGTGACACAGTAGTTTGAAGATGTATATTCCACTTTTCTTATCTCTTTTTTTCTTCTTTTTTGTTAAAACATATTTGGTCCATTTTTGGGCTGGACTAGACTTAGGCTGGTTCTGAAGTACAGACCAATTAAAAGAAGTCTGAACCTGTATTAAGACCCTGTTTGTACCTGATGTCATCACAAAATGGATCCTCATGTTGTTTGTCTATTGAGGGCCTTGTATCTATATACAGCAACCTGTTGACCGGTGAACAGGAGGGTCCCTTTCATGACTCTGCACCAGTGGGTTCTGGGCCTTTTTTGCTTTTTTGTCAGTCAGCTACAGGCCAGTGACGTACATCTCCATCCCATCATTGAAGGTGAAGATGGTGGTGGTGCTAGAGCTGTTGGCCCCTTGTTTCACATCGCTGATGGTCTCATAGAAGTTTTCCCCACCGGGCAGGCTTCTCACAGGCAGGGCGGTGGGTCCTGAGCCCTGAGGTGCCACTGGTGCTGCCTGCTGCGGTGGCGTCTGCTTCTTCCTCTTCAGAGTAGCGCTACCCCCAGCTGTGTTGTTATTGGTACCCGCCTGCTCACGTTTCCGGTGGCTGTCGATAGTAGCGTACGCGGGGTCAGATTCGGCCATTGCACATGTGGACCATGACCTGTCTCCTACCGGCTCATAGCACGGCTCCTCCTGGGAACGCGCCTGGCCCTGGACTCCTCGGCCTCGGCCGCGGGAACCTGCGTTTCTCTCTCCACCAAAGGAGCGTGGGAGGGTCTTCGATCCGTTGTTTTCCATGGGAGGTTTCTTCTTCTGGGTTTTACAAACGATGGAGTAGGTATCTGCAATCTGAGAACACACACAGGAGGAGAGCAGAGTATGGTGTCAGTTAATGACACTGAACTACAGTACAACTCCACAGGCTATGGGTGACTGCTCCTGAAATGGAAGTTGACTGTAATTCTGCTTCATTCAGAACTTTGTTTCTCTAAGTGAATGCCGATAACCATAACAGATACATAGCCTACACATGCAGTACTGTGCTGGGATTTAAATGAACAGTCACTGCATCACGTGTGTTTCCCACCTTGAAGTATCAAGTTTCTAAACTACCTGTGAGTACGTGCGGACTTCCCATGTTTATGTATGAATGTCTGTCTGCATGTATGCCAGACATAAAGGTGCAATATTTGAACATAAGAGTACACATATAATCCTGCTACTTTGGTGTGTGTAAATGAATGTGTGAGCATGGATTGTGTGGGTGTGTGTGCGCAGCAGTTTGCGCATGTGTTGACAGAGCCCGCTCTGTGCTGTAACCTGACCTATTTTGACGAGGTAGGATAAGACAGAGTAAACTGTGTTATCAGTCTGTTGAGGTCTAGGCAGAAAGACAGAGTTAGCTTTGCAGTGGATGGACCTGTTAAAATTTCACCACAACTGCTTTGGCAACAGAACAGCGGGGTATGGTGTGAAGGATCTGGATGACAGCCAACTTGCTGGAAAAAAAAAACAACTTGCTAAGTGGTGTTCACTAATGGACTTTGCTCACACTGCATTTGCTTTGAATGAGACATATGTTCATGTTTTTGTGACTGAAGTTAATGCATGTCTGTAAATGCATACATGCATGTGTGTGCTTACATTAAAGCCTGTAAGATTTGATATCTAGGACTCACAACTTAAAGGCATGTGTAGGGTCTTGTGGGGAATTCGGACAAACCAGTGCTGTGACCTTTGGCATTTCTGTGTCAAAATTCCACAACGGGAGCACAAGAGCAGAGGATTGTGGGACATGGTAATGTTTACCTTTCGTGTTCACACCCAGACCAGCAGCTCTGCTCTAGTGGCCCTGAGAAACACTGGCTATGCAAACTCTCTCTCTCCCACACACTCACAGATTAGCCTTGTTTTTGTTCCGCTCCCAAAAAACTGAAACCTGAGAGCATAGAGACAATGGCCAAGACTCTCCTTTCTGTGGGTGCACACACCTTGACTTTACTTTCATGGTGCCATTAAATTTTATCTCTTCTTACATAGGAGAATATACAACAGTTAGTTAAGCTGGGGAACTATTATTCAAGTGCAAACTACTGTGACTTTAATATTGAGTATCTCTCTTTCTTGCTCACTCTCTCTGCCTGACAGACCTCAAGCAACACACATACCCTGCCCCCACAAATCTCTTGTGTGACCTTTTTGGATAAACAAAGACTCTGGCGTATGCTACAAGTGTGCGCACACAATGTGCAGTGTGTGTGTGTGTCTATTTGCAAGAGTGTGTACGTGTGTGCATTTGTGCACACAGAATCTGCAGCTCTGTGCAGCAGAGGAAGGAAGTCACAAGATGATGGGGATTTCAAAACTGGGCTGCAGCTGTTGAGGAAGCCTGTGCATTGTATGTTTTCTTTTCTCCTCCCCTCTGCCTGCGCTCCTCTCTGTTATGTCTCCTCTGATACTGCTTTAGCTTTCTGCTCAGGCCGAAACTTTGAGAAGTCACATTTAATTTCAGCATACACTGATTATCCATGGAAACACAACAGTATGCATGACTGATGCATCTGTGTGTGATCAACTTTATGAATAGCAAATATGGCACAAGTTTCCAAACGGTCTGCTGGCAGTCAATATTCATCTGGTGAGACATGCGTTGTGCAACGTGATTGGTTGGGGAGGGCAGCGCCTCCTAATAGCCACGAAGGGAGTGGAGCAGAAGGAGAGAGCGCCAGAGGAGAGGAGGAGATTTAAGTGGGAGTGGAAACTCAACACCTTCTGACGGCTGCAACTGACAAACTCCAGAGGATACAAAGTATATGGGCATGTTAGGGCAACAACAAACTCTCAAATGGGAAACACAGCAACTAAGGGAGAGTAGAAGTTTAGAAAGAAAAAGAAATTGACCGAGAGAAAGCGGAACGCAGTCAAGACCAGCTGCTCTGTGTACCAGTCTGATTTGGAGAGGCGGAGTTTTACTCATGAGCCAAACAGCATGGACTTAACCCATTAATCTCCACACACAGCGTTCAAACTCTGGCTCAACACTGGCTTAGACAAGAAACTTACGAACAGATTAAAACATGTCAGGACTGCTGCTTTACTTAACTCTTACATGCTTATCTTAGATGATCTTCTGTCACACCCTGTGAACAACGGATTCATTCTGTGACTTATAAATCACATGCTGCATGAAGTTATGTTTCTGTGTCAAAATTCAGACTTACTCTTCAATCATAAATATTCCAACAAAGTAACTGACATGGAAAAATAACTTCCCTGAGCTGATGGGCATGATAATGAAAAAGAGAAGCATTCAACCACAGAATAATAATAGACAGTAGTCTGTTTCAGGGACACACCTCCATCCGCTCATATTATCCCCCCACACCCCACCGGCATGACAAAAGTTCCCTAACTGTTTGTAAGTTCCAGTACGTTATACTGTGTCCAGTGGAGAGCAAAGAAAGGGGGATTGAGAGTAGGGAAGTGGGGGTGGAGTTGCTGAGTGCAGACTTCCCCCTCTTTCCACCTGACATACTCTGCCACAAATATATATATATATATATGTATGACTTGATATAGGTCAGTCTGTTGCCACATCCTAGTCACAGCTGATCAAATTCTGTCTGAATAAGCTGATGATGCACAGTGATACTTAATTATTTGGCAGCAGTGTCTGATGCGTCTGGTGAGTTGTGCATTGGAGACAGATGAGATAGATGAGTGGGGGGCTGGGAGATTGGGGTCAGGGTTCAGGTAGAGGATTGGGGGTGCTATATCCATGTAACATAACCTCTGTAAGCAGAAACCTCATATGACAGGCGGGTCACAGGGCAGTGGTGTTATGACGGCATGCCCAAGCAAATGGGCGCCCCAATCGGTAAACACTGCGGTCACAAATCAGAGACCTGTCTGTCTATCTGTCTGCCTGTACCCCCCAGCCACCCACACACACACACACACACACACACACACACATACACACACACATTTGTATACTACCTCCTTCGCAGTTGGGGGAGATGGATGCCCCTGGCCATTCTCTCCGCGGAGTGGAGGTGGGTGCAAGGTGATGATGTCATCTTCCTCTGGAGGCTTCCAGATGTACTGCTCCCCGTTGCCTATGAACACTGCCTCCTGGTAACACAATCAATTGAGGAGCTCACACTTAAACATGTTTTTAAATGTATGGAAAGTTCTGTTATGTTGTGCCACTGTGTGTGTGTGTGTGTGTGTGTGTGTGTGTGTGTGTGAACTATGACTTGTGGCTATTTTTATTTGCTGTTTTCTCAATCGGTAAACAGTGACCATGTCACACAGTGTGGGCAAACTGTGCATGTTTGTGTGTGTGAAAAACAGAGAGATAGAGTGCTTTTGTTTTGAAGGTCAGAGATATGGATGACTGATTAATGTGGGCTGCTTTCATCAAATTTGGTCAGCTCTGCTGTAATCAAAATGATTGACTAAACAAGGTTATAGTCATAAAAGTATCACTTCTAAAGCTACTGACTTCTCTCTACTTCAACAATATCCACCTACTGTATGTTAAATGATCTGGCTTTTTATTTATTTTTTGTTCTCCAAGAGTAGCTTTCATGTCAAGATCCAAACAAACAAATCTGTAAGTGGCACTGTCAGAAAAAGAGGGGGCGTTGGAAATTATCCGAGTTTCTATCCTTTCAAAAACAGCTATACTTTAAAGAAAATGACAAACTAATTACTAGATGGTTTGTACTATGCAAGTGTCGAGGAATGCCTGTTTTCAGCAAGAGTTAATCAGTTTCTCCTTTCTCTGTGAACTTTTCCAGGACGTTTTATGCAAATATAGTGAGTCAAAGATTTATGACAGAAAGACAGATGCACTGGCATAAAGCATATCCTGAAAAAAACACAACCCTCATTTAACTCTACTGGTGCTGGTAATTTTAAGCCAAGTGTTTGGGGAAGAAAATATAAATCCATGTTAAACAAAAGGAATTTTTACATTTAACTAATACTGAATGGTCAGTTACAATGTATTGAGTTCTTCCTATTGTATTTGCATTTTTTATTTGCTTAGTTGTAGATATGTGAAATCTATCTAATACAAAAATAAAATTCATAGTAAAATAAACAAAACTGCTCTTGTTCATTTTTTATCACTGCTGGTGATCAAAGCCAATTAGAAACCAATTAGAAAGAATGTGATGGTGTGTGCACATGCAACCAAGGATGATTAAGCTTTTATATGCTCCTCCTGTGCAGTGAGAGTGAGTAATAGAAGCCAGGGCAGAGTAAATGACTACAATATGTGAACATTATTTATCCCCACACTGGCTGCTGGCTACCTGTTAGCCATTTCTTGATAGACTTACTGATAGATTCAACAGGAACACACACACACACACACACACACACACACACACACACACACACACACACACACACACACACACACACAGGCAACTTGGCAGCCTTCCAAACTCTTACATAATCCATCCTTCTACTCTTTACTCTGGCCACTCTAATACCGTGCTGTGCAGCACACTGCATAGGGGCAAAGGGAAGGAAGAAACACACAAACACGAGCATGCACACACACTCACACTATCAAGGATTTAGCAACCACAGATTAAAAGTGCAGGTCAACAACTGGGCTGACATCAACAGCTAAGACAAACCTGTTTAAACACCATTATCAGTCTTCTTAAGTCACTAACACAAAAGACAAAGTCACCTGTTTTATGCTCTGCCAAACATACACACACACAAAACCATACACACGTTTACATGTGTGCCAGCAAACGCACGGGAAAGGCTGATCGCCATCCGATCATTGTCCCTCTATTTCCCTCTCAGAACCGCCCCAAACTGTGGCCTTGACTGTTTATAAACACATCCCAGCTGGCGCATACTGTACAACTCTATTATGTGATTAAAACATTTAAATAGAAGACAAGATTTTAAAAACACGAGATAATGAGGTTGATTATTTTGTAAACTAAGAATATGCTATATATATATATACAATATTAATGATGAGTATGAATTATAAATGTGCAGCAAAATCTGATAAGAAGACATCAAGCGACTAAATTCATTTCAATCCTGAACATGTCTGACTGTAAAGAGCTGTTTCTTTGTGGACAGTGCCCTCTGGTGGTACATAGACAGACATACAGGTTGGTGAGGTGGCTGGTTGGGTAATACAATGCATGAGTTTGACACAGACCATATTGATCCAATGATTTCTGTACCTTTGGGAAGGAGTGCAGGTGAAACGGTTCCAGTGGTTTGCGCGGAAACTCCTGACTGCGATGTAGTGGAGGGGGAGCTGCAGAGGGTGAATCACTCACACTTGACTGGCTGTCTGACTGGCTGTCGGCTCCGTTATTTTCCTTCCTGTTTGTCTTGTCAACCTTGATGTATTGAGTCACCAGTAAAAACATTTTCAGTGAATGCACACGGCAAAGGTCCACATAATCAAGTTTAAATTGGACTTCTCATGCATGTCAGAGAAGTATTTTAGACCTATTAGTGGGACAATATAAAGTGATATTAGTTGGCAAGTGTTTTTAAAAGCAAGCAGTTATGTTATTTTGCAGTTTTGGTGAATTTTACTATTTTTCTGAATTTTTCAAAGCCAGACAAGCTGATTTATGTCTCTGTGTGCAGTCTGAAGGTTTGACAAACGGGGAACTGCTCCTCTCAAAAGTTTAGAGAACTCACCTTCTCTAACACTGGATAAATTATCCTAACTTTAACAACCCTGCATAAGGTGTATTGGCAACAAAATCCTAACAGACACATTACACTAGGCTTTAGCTTTTCATTGTTAGTCATTTCCTTGCAACCACCATCTACCACTGAACACTGAGGTTGAAATACTTTAACCACTGCTGATAACATCAATCCAAGCCCACTGCTCTTCTCATTCTGTCGCACAAACACTTCATTTAGTAACCATAGATACAATCACATCATATGAGAATCACATCAATATCATCAGTACATTCCATTACATCAAATCACAAATAACACAGAACTGTCATAACGTCAGGTGATATTATCTGTCTTAACAGTTTTGTCTGTTTTAGCACATATTGGTTGGAAATGCTACGTTATCGTTGCTGTTTACAACCCTACAACATCCTTAAGGTATCTGTTAGTTGGCTTGGTAAAAAAAAAAATCTAATCCCCATGAAACCAAACATCTCATTTAACTGAATCGTCAAGAAGAACATCTCATCTTTCATCTCAAGTCACTGTCTGAATAACTTAAAATGTATCTATGTTGTTACCTTTCTGAACTTCCGTATAGAAGCATACTCAGCTGCAGTTGGCTCTTGGATGGCCAGGGAGTTGACAGAAGACAGAGGGGACCTGTTGACCCCACTCGCACCATTACCTCTTACTGTCATTGGTCCGTTGATGGTGCCATTCATCCTTCCATTCCCTCTGCCACCCTGTGAGACAAAATGACAAAATGACACAAGTTACAAACAAATTACAAATCTAAAAGCACAACATTTGATGCACCCTAAACAAGGCCCAAAGCCACAGAAACTGCACAGCTGCAGCTCCACAGCTTCCGACCTACATACACAAGCTGATGATGCATGCCATCTACAGGCAAACAAAGAAATAAGTTATAGATGTTACACTAATGGTATGGAGGTACGTTTAAACTTTCTTTGTTGTACATTAACACGTCTACAGTCTGCAGCTCCATAATGGTCTGAGCTGGGGGCTTTTGGGCAGCTCATGATTAAGTTTAGAGTGAGGACGTCGTTGGTCTGATGTGGGTGGTTGGGCAGCTCTGATTGTAGCTGGCGTGTTGGCTGATGTGGGTGGCGGGGCAGAGGGTACCTTGGGGCCTGTGTCACCTTCCCGGACACCTACACTTTCATACAGGCCATCATCCAGGCAGTGGGTGGGTGTGGGGTTGTTCCGTAGGCCCACCTCGGTGTAGGTGTGGTCTCTAGCCTCCCCTCCTACTCCACCTCCTCCACCTCCTCCTCCTCCGCCATCTCCTGTTTCCCCTCCTCCCCCCTGGCCAGGTCCCTGAGGACTGGTGGGGATCTGGGGAAGCTGGCGCCCATGGGAGGGCCTCAGGTCTGTCTGGGAGCGCCGACTGTGGAGGAGCAGGAGGTCCATACTGGCTGGACGGCTCTTACTAACAGCTGCACAGAGAGGAGGAGGAGGGGGAGGAGGAGGTATCAGCTCAGGGTTGTATATCATATATTGTCGCATACAAACTGTCACTCATCACTTACAGTTTCCATTGCAGGGAAAGCGATTGATCTCATGCAGCCTGGTGTCAGACTTGCTCATGGAGTTCAGTTTTGGGTGTCGAAGAGTACCCTGCTGTCGCAAACATACGGACAGGTTAATAAAACATGCACAGACATGTGCATCTGTATATATGACCAGCCATTCAGAGATAACGGATACGCTGAAAACAGCGGAAGGAAATGGAGACAAGGATGAGAGAGGGAGCAAAATGAAAGCATGTCTCACCATATTTACAGATGTCCCTTTCTCTCCGGCTGGGGGGTGCTTGCTCTTGCTTTTTCTGACATAACATCACAGCGAGGAAGGTCATCAGGAGCCGGTGGACAGAGAGAGAGAACATACACACACTCAGAGCAGATAGATACTATCAGCATCAAACCCTGGTTAGGGCATGAAAGTCCTTGGTTAATAATGAGAGCCCAGTCAAACAGTGAGTGGAGCGTGACTCAAGTTTTTTTGCCAAAGCAGACAATGTCCTCCACTGAGAAACTTTATTTTCTTTTTTCTTTTTCAGGGCAAGACCAAGCTAACTCAAGATTCCTTCATGCTAATTCCCTTTTCCACTACTATACTATCCTCTGATATAAAATGTATTTAGTGTAGTGTTTCATGGATCTCTGGAGGTGTCTGTAGCTATAGGAAACTGTTGATATGGTGAGAGAGAGTAACAAGATGAAGTAAGAAGACAAAAGCTCCTGGGTGCAGGTGTGAATGTGAGAAGTGTTCTACCCCCACCCCCCTCTCTCACGTTTGAGGATCTGCATCTAAAATAATGTGTGATCTCACTCCTGCGTTGCAAAAAACAAGGTAGCAATACATCCCTGGTTTCCAAACAGGTGCAGGAATCCTAGAAATGTCTAATTATACAAGTTGCCTAAAATATAACGCAATACCACGGTGAGTTGTATCAGATCCATGTTACTGGTGCTAGCTATTCTGTCCTCTAGTGAGCTGGAACTCAATCCTATTCGTACAAACATATGGCCATCATACCCCAAGGGGACCATGAGAAGGCGAAGAGAGCTCCCCTTGGAGATGTTCATAATAACATGGCACAAGAGGGGGTTTAAGGTAAAAATGACATGAAGACGTATAAAGAACGGCATCAGTTATGGACTAAACTTTAGTTTTAGACTAAGATTTTATAAGATATCTGCTGTAATCTAGCATCAGTGTAGGAGGGTTTAAAAAAAAAACAATAGCAGGGAATCAATAGTAGTAGGTCTCTCTGTCCAGTATCTATGGTATTTGTATATGACGGTTCCAGGGAATTTGAACTGGTGAACTACTCAACGCTTGACAAATCTGCCCCTCAACATTACCGACATTCAGTTGGGTGCATATTTTATTCTTTAGATCTTAACAATAGTGTGGTTTTACTTCCATGACATGAGCTGGTTTGACATTTCTCTACACCCTTATCTGTGTATCCCTTGGCAACAAAGCCATAGAGCAGCCTCTGATTGGTCCCTGAGGGTTCTGAAAAAAGTCTGTTCCATTGCTCTTGCCTCACTCAGAGTCTGATCCTCTTAAAACCGCAAGGTGCGCCATTGCTTTCGCCTGCTGAGGAGTCTGTTAAAGAGGGGTGATGTGAGGCTGCTCTGACTCTGGCCTGTCTCCTCAGTGTCCTGTAAACATCATTTCATCTGATCTGACACTCGCAGCCATTAACATTCATTACTGCCACTCTGCTCAGAGCAGGGGATAAAAGAGACGGAGAGGACGGATGGAGGGAGGAGAAAGAAGGGAGGAGAAGAGTTCAGAAGAAGTAGAGACACATAAAAGAAGGAGAGGATGATGGAAGTGATCTGGGAGGGCATGGAAAGCTGGCAGTAGAGATGATAAAACTTTTTTTTTTTTTCAGTCCGGCCCTCGCTTTTCTTTCACATTTCAAGTCATGTGACCACCTTCTTACCTTTGGCAGCCAACGCAGACAAGGACAATAAGGATGGTGACCACAAAGGCGGATGCTGCTGCGATGGCTCCCAGGAGCAGCAAGTTTTTGTAGGTAGGGTCATTTGGCCCTTCAACGTCATCCATGACACCCACTCCCTCTCGCTTACTCACTCACTTCCACTCGAGCTCAAACTCTGTCACACAGCCCGTCTGCTCAGGAAAACCTGCAGAGATACGAGTGGTGGGAGAAAGAAAAGAGAAAGATACAACATGTGAGTGACATGAGAGATAAGAACAAACTGAAGAAATGCTGTAGTGTGCGAGGTGAGAAACGGTGTGCGTGCGTGTGCTTGGTTTGCCTCTGGCTTTTTGTCACTGTCTCTTTCTGACATATCAGTTTCTATTTTTGACACTAGCAGAATAATGCACAGAAAATAGAACTCCTTACAAGGCAGCCAGTATGAGCATGCCAAAAAAGGTTTCATCACACTCCTTCTTTTTGTTGTTAAAAAAAGATCAGAATGATACCGTAACATTCATTTGACTAGCCAAAGAGATTCTTGTTAGTTTAACAGGAAAAACCAACTGCGCTCCCCAAGAGTAGTGTCTTACTGACAGAGGGACCAGATCCACTGCTGCTACACTTCCTTTCCTGGCAGAACACCTTTCTTTTTTTCTGCAATCAACTGTGGTTCAAACACTCAAAACAAGATTTTCATTTTTTATAAAAACAGTGGCACATATTGTAGTGAGTGTTGTACTACAAACAAGGTAGAGCTTTCACCCATCAGACACACGAGGGCAAATAAACTCTCCACACACACACACACACACACACACACACACACACACACACACACACACACACACACACACACACACACACACACTCAAATCATGTCAGACAAAATTATCTCTGAGGGGATTTGCATGCATTTCAGAGAGAGAAATATTGCCCTTTTTACTCCACTGGATGGCAGTTAATATTTATATATTGGAAAATAAGGTTTTTATGTGTGAAACATTCAATGTGCTCAGAGAATACTGTGTGCTGTTTTTAAGGAACAGTTTTGGGAAATCAACTTGTTTGGTTTCTTTCTGAAAGTGAGATGAGTAGTCTGATACCAGCTTCATGTCTGTGCATACCCAGCTGGAGTCAGGACATGTTTAGTCTAACTTATCATAAAGAAGGAAGAGAATAGCTAGCTGGACTCTCCCAGACACCTCTAAAGAGTCTTATTTACATTATATTCTTGTTTTTTTAATCTGTACATTAACAGAAATGTAAAAAAAAGAAAAGAAAGAAAGAACAATTTGAGAACAATCTTCTCACGTCACACGTATTTCCCACCTATTCCTTAAACTATCTTGCAGTATATGATGTAGCTACTACAAATAGTAACAGTTAAGTATTTATATACTGTAGTATTGGTACTGTATGTTGTAGAGGACCAGTGTGTACCCTTTGTGGCATCTAGTGGTAAAGTTGCAGATTACAACCAACTGAATACCACCTGCCTTCAAACTGTGTAGGAGAAACAATGGTGGTCGGGAAACTTACGAAAAACATAAATATTATATTCCATTTCTTCCAATAGATTCTCATAAATGTTACACACTCGACCTTTAAGTAGATGATTTCCAGACTTTGACCACCTCTTAAATAAAGTAATTGATTTAAATGATTCCAGGTTTGAGTTGCAGCTATTCATAAATGTATTACTAGGTTCCTTAATTCATAACTATTATCCAGATTCAAACTAGGATTTACAAAATGTTGTTACACCATTAAGACTTTTAATGTCTTAGACATTAAAATAGTAATGTGTAAATCTGTTGCTAAGGATCATCTGTAGCACTGTTCTATTAAAAGCAACAACTTTGTTAATGTGGGAATTGCTTTGTTGTATATATATACTGTATGCATCCTTAAAGAAAATAAGTTTCAGAGTTAACAGTATACATGCAGGTTAGAAAAGAGTGGAAAATGTCCAATGATGCCAACCTAACCAAGACTATTTGGTCAGTTAGGCTAATACTGGCATAATATTGACCGTAGTTTATATAACCGTCAATCTAAATGTATAATAAGTTTAAATTTAACTAATATTTTGTCAATTAGTTCAGTTAGCTGGAGTTACACCTAGCATCCACTGGCTGTAAATATTTAGTAACAACTACTCTACTACATAGGAACTAGTTTGTGTGGTGCGACCCATTTTTAATCTCCATCATACAGTTCAAACATCTATGTTACAAGTAGGCTAACTTGGAGCTTGGTGCAACCAGCTCCTGAAGTAGAGCCTCCAAAATGTCACCTGAACAGAGAATGCGTTCAGTTTGAGGCACAAATATGTTCACAGTTACTGAGCACAAGACATTTGGAATTTGGAACAGTTGTCAATACCTGCACTCACTGCTCTGCACATTTCCCATGGGCACAACAACACTTGCATACACCACATACGCTGTACATTCTTTTATAAACAGAGACAATGGCAGCAATGTGGTTAAAGTATTAGATTAGAGAGAAAGCTGAACATCAGGGATCCAAATGACAAAGCAAGCAGTGAGCAGAAGGAGGTCATGGCATGCTACTGTATACACTGTGTGTGTGTGTGTGAGAGAGAGAGAGAGAGAGATTGTTGTGGAATATACCACCACAGGATCTGGCTCTGGCTTTCTGTTTCTTGGAGATAAAACTGCATCTTTTTTTTCCATGTCCTCTTTTCTTGGACCCTCTCCCTTCACCAGATCTCCTCTCCTCCTCTCTCTCTCTCTCTCTCTGTCTGCCTGACCCTGCAGATATGTGAGGCAATGCACAGCGAATGAATTAGCAGAGCAGAGGCCTCAGACAGCCCTTTATGGAATAGACAGACAGGCAGGCAGGCTGACGGGGTATAACGCCGTAGAGAGAGAGAGAGAGAAGAAAAAAAACGAGTGGGAGAGAGTGAATGAAAGGGAAGGCTAAGAGAGAGGTGATGAGAGACACAGAAGCAAATGAGTGGGATGAAAGGACAGACAGGTGGGAGAAGATGCAAGAAACCCGGGGAAGACAGAGAAAGAGGGGAGCACACTTAAAACGCAAAAGGAGGAACGTGGAGGGAGGGTGTGATAAACAGTGGGGGAGGGAAGAGTGAAAAGAGAGTGATGAGACGAAGAAGATGAAGACAGTGAGAGAAATAGCAGGGAAGCCTGAGAGAATGTGCGATGAGCGCAGGGAGGGGGGAACAGAGGGAGAAAGAGAGAGAGAGAGAGGAAAAAGGAGGAGGCGATGAGAAGGAGGTCATCAGCGGTCTGTTTCTGCCTGCATTTTGTCAGCCCCCTTCTGAAATATTCAGAGGAGAAACACATACAAGGGGTGCGTTTCTGAACCGCCAGCAAACACAATGCAGGATGGGAGCACATGTCTAGCAGCGTACTTAACTGTATGTGAAGCTCACAAGTGGTGAACAAGACTCTGGAGGAGGAGAGGTACGATGCTACAAACGCCCCTGCAGCACGCTCGACAATGACACACAGTTAGGGTACAAGAAGGTTTATTCGAGCATCTGTCTTCATTTCAGACCATTATGAGTAAAATGATGGCAATGATAATAACAGCATATTGAGAGTGATGACGAGGGTGGTGATAGCCCTATTGATGCCTGCTGCTGGTGGTGATTATAATAAAGATGTCAGTGAAGATGATGATGAAGGCTGCAGCTACTAATACCGACGGTAATGATGGTGATAATGAGGTCAAACTGAGAGCTGTGAAGACGCGTCGAGGGGCGGATGCAAGCAGCAGAACTGGCAGAGCAGCAAGCAGGATGCAGCAGTGCAGCGCAACCACAGGGTGGAAGGTTTCATCTGTGTCTCTGAGATCACACAAACGCACACACGCACACAAACACAGCACAGAACAAAGCACATGTACACCAGCATAAAACGGCAGATTGGTGTGTTGCAAATCTAGTAACAATCTTTGGATTACACAATCACTTTTGCAATAAAAAGTCAAACCAACGTACATTTCAACCCTCAGATGTACAACTGGGGTCTCACAAACTCTGCAGCTTCTTTATTATGCAATAGCTACTCAACAAAAGCTAATTGTAGTTTCTACTCCTAGTTATGCTTAAAATAGATTGTTGAAAGGGAAATCAGCTCAATTTTCATGTGCCCTAAAAACAGTTTTTGAGACAATCAGAGGTTTATATTCTTAATTTCCAGCTCTCGGCTTAAGCACACCCCACTTAAATTCCCAGTATCAAATGTTGATTAAATAAAACAATTTTATTTTCTTGTAATAGGATTCAACAGATCCTTATAGCATAATGCTGTTTAATGAACAATGCATTTGACTATGAAGATATCTTACTGGGGTCTCTTGGATTACAGCACTACTTCAAAAGTGGGACATTTTTCTGAGGTTTAAAAATAAGCGTAACCTAATTTTCGTTGCATTTCAGGGATGACATACACATTTACAGAAACATTTTGAATTACATCACGAGTCGTTATAAATTGTTAATGCTAAACAAGAGACATTGGTTCGGTTTTTCTGTGTTGGATAGGTTTTACTGAAAGAGCAGAACGTCTGAATATAACTTCAGACTTCAATAACAACGGAGCCAAATGCTGTACAAAGCATAAACTGGGCAGCTTTTGGGAGGCTGAGTGTATATAAAGTATATTAAGGTTAACCTCAGCATTTCTTAGGTGATTCCCTACAGTCATCTAAAATTAAAGAAATCTGTGCAGCTGCTGTTCTCATTCTTGTGTACTTGGAGGCTCTGTTGAATCCACAGTTATTCTGACTACTGATTGACCAGTATATCGAGAGTATGGTTATTACCACACTGAGACATATGTACGTTAAAAATCAGGGAACTAAAAGAGTCAAAAGTACTGTATTCTTATCAAAGTAGTAATTAGTTATCAGTTATAATGTACTTATTTTAATTATTCAATATTAAGTCATTTGTCACAGATGATAAGTGCTTCGGGAGATTCTAAAAAAACATAGAAAAAAGATGCTTCTTATGACTCAGAGTGTGCCTGACAATCATTATGTTTTTAAGTTTTCTTCAGTATTAAAGTACTCGAGTAATAGCTGTTTGTACATCATCCTTGGGTACATTGCAAACAGCTAATAGCAGCATGCTTTTAACTCCATGGCAACATTACAACTCCTGTTTAAATGATACTAAATAACTGTGTCCCAAATCAAAGCAAGACA